GTCGGCACCGAAATCAGAGAAGATCATCCGGCAGTGGTCGTTTCAAACAATTGGCAAAATGAAAAAGGTTCGCGAGTGGTAGTTTTACCCATGAGTTCTAAAATAGAAAAGATCTATCCCTTTGATGTTTATGTAGGAAAGGTGCTTAATAATTATAAAGAAAGTAAAATTATGTGTGAACAAGTCAAGTCAGTAAGCGATTAATCATGCCCAAGGCAGGAAAATTGCCACCTAATTTATTTACGAAAGCTGAAATTAAGTTAAAGAAAGTTTTGGCTTTTGAGGAACGGATTAGGTATTTTTTGCTTTGAAAAGATAATTAGTATGATCGTAAATCATCTGTTTTATAAAAACAAAGGCATTTGCTAAAATTTAAATAATTTAGGTAGCAATATAGAACTTTTAGACATTTTTATTTTTTCGTCGCTTACTAAATTTTACTATTCCTCAAATCAAAACCTGGTAAATATCGAGGCGAATTAGATTTAGATTATGATCTTAACGGAAAGATGACGGAATGTTTTGCCCACGGAGTTACTTTTTACGAGGATAAAAAAAGCACTTTATTAATCCTGATTTAAGATTTTCAGGAGTTAGAAACAGCAGAGTTCAGTTAGGTTTAGGTGCCGATTTTACATAGCCCAAGCCATCACCTCCGGCGACGAACCCTTAACTAACCAAATTGACCGCACCAAAGGCTCTAATTTCCACCAACGGGCTCATTTCTTTATCACTTACGAGGATGGTTCAAAGGAGCATTGATGTGTTAAATTCCCACTGAGTTTTCAAGGTAGCCATTTAGCCGAGGGGCATAACCGAGGAGGTTTTGACCTTAAATTTACTAAGCCGGTTAAAGAATTCATAGATGTTTATGCTTGTATTGGCTGTAGAGCACCCGGCAAAAAAGGAGAGCCAACCGCGGAAGAATTAAACCGAGACATTCCCGGTTATGGATTTCAATTTGATTCAGAGGCTCATGGAGATAGCTTAGATAACACAACCGTGATTTGAGAGGTTTACTAATGTTGTTCTAACTGGTGGCCAGTATACTCATTCTTCCTCCGGTTTGGATTTAGGTGGTCCGGGTGATGTCTGAGAATTCACGGGAATATATATTCGTGGCAAAGATAATAAGCCTTTTACGGAAGCCTATGGGTTTATTCCCGCGGGTGGCACAATAAGGTGAATTACCAAAGGAGGAACTACGCGAATAGAATGGCAAAAAGTTCCCGGCAGCGATGACTTTAACCAACTGGACTGAACTCCCCCGGCCGGTAGCGGAGGAGAACCCGAGATACCACCATTAGAACCCGACTTGCCACCGGACATTGATCCCGGACAGGAGCCAGATATTCCGGAGTCTGATATACCCGAACCAGAAGTGCCAGAACCCGAAGGAGACCCTAGCCAAGACCCTGGCTATACACCGGATACCGGAGACCATGACCCACCGCCTGATGTTCCCGATGATGACCCGGATGGGGATTAAGATTATTTAGAAGAACTAGGTTTGCCGTAAGCAGGTTGAATTTGGAGGGCTTGTTGTTCAATTTGCTGATTTTCTCCAAGGTTAAGTTGATTTAAATTCATTACTAAAGAATTAGAATATTCAGTAGCAATAGTTTCTTCACTCCTTTGTGTTCCAATTTCAGAAATGTTTTCAGTTTGTGAACTTTCTTCATTATTTTCAATTGTTTTAAGTATGTCCTCTAAGGCTATTCTTTCATTAGGGTTATCCTTTCAGCATTCTTCAATAATAACTTGAACGTTTTTCGGAGCACAATCAGGTATATTTTCTTTCCCATTGTTGATAATGCGAACGTATACTAAATTATTATCGACGTCTTCAAAAGGCACAGTGCATTTAGTGGCGATTTCTCACATAATCATACCTAAAGCGTAGATATCGGATTGTTCAGAATATTTTTGTCCTTTTAAAAGTTCCGGAGCCATTCACCGAATAGTGCCAGTAGCACTTTGGTTTGTTGATTGAGAAGAACTAATAACCTTAGCTCTTGATAAGCCAAAATCGGATATTTTCGCTTGATGACCATTGGCCAACAAAATATTCATGCTTTTCAAATCTCGGTGAATAATATTTTCATGATGAATATAAGCTAATCCTAATGCTATTTGTTTAATGAGATTAGTATTGAAGCTCCAATCATGTTCTTTATCTTCATTATCGTTAATAAACTTAGTTAAAGTGCCATTTTTGGCATATTCCATAATAATAAGAACTTCGTGTTCATCAGAATGAGTATCGTAATATTGAATTACGTATTCATTTCTTAAATTTTTAAGAATATCTATTTCTTTTTGGATGTTTTTACGATCCTTTTGAGAAATATTGTTAAGCGATAGGTATAATTTCTTAACTGCTACGTCTTGGAGCTTTCATTTGCCATAGTAAACTTCACCAAAGCCACCTTTGCCTAGAAGATGGTTTAGGGCGGGTTTTTGTTGATTTGATTGCTCAGTGGAGATTTGTTTTTGTTCTTTTGTTTGTAAGGAAGATTGTTGCTTTTGGAGAAGTTGGATTTGCTTATCTTTCTCTTTGATGCTTTTTAGATTATTAATAGTTGATAAAATATTGCCTTTGCGATTATTTAATTCTTCTGGGCTTTGGGCATAGTTTAAGTAACTTTGTCAAGTTTGGCTAAGGTCAGTAAGACGACCGTCTTTTCTTAATTGTTGAGTTAGTTCTTCAAGCGTGACTTCTTGAGTGGCAGTTATAATTTCCCCTACTTGAGCTTTTATTTGGGATTTTTGCTTATAGGCTCGAAGTTTTTGGGGAAAGTTTTTTATGCTTCTACGTTTATCATCTGTTTCTACTATTCCTTGCTCGTTAGCAAAGAGGTTATAAAGAACTTGACATTTGGCATCTTTTTTTCTGTTTACCGAGCAATTAAATTTTTCCACGCTCTTCGGTAAATATTCTAAACCACTGTCAATATCAGTATCTTCAATAATCAGCCAGTTTAGTTTCTTTAAATCTTTCAAAGGTTCTAGAGAACCATAGAAGCGATTAGGAACTCCTTCTGAAATTCGATTATGGCAACTTCCTATCTCCAAAAACTCTAAATTAGTAAATTTACTAAACATGGACAAGTCTTGCTCGGGGAAATTATTGCCCATAAAGTGTAGACTAGCCAATTGTTCAGACCGAGCAGGAAACTTTAAATCTTGTAAATAATTGTTACTGTGACATCAAGCAGTTCTTAATTGATTACAATTAGTTAAGTCTAGTTTAGTTAATTGATTAACATTACAAAAAAGTTTCTTTAATTTTAAGCACTTGTTTAATTTTAAAGAAGTTAATCAATTATCATCGCAATTCAAATCTTCCAAATTAACAAAATCATTTAAATCTAATTCACCCTCTAGGTTTTTATTTCTAATGCCTAATATAGTGATTTCACTACGTTTTTCTTTAGGATAATTCTCATCTAACCATTCTTGAGCCTGAACCATTATTTATTCTCCCTTCTAGAATATCAAACTAATCCGACTAGGGCAAATATTCCTACTCCTCCTAAAATCCAAGGTAAGTAGTTTTTATTAGTATTTTCTGAACTGGAATTCGACTGCTTTGAGGCTTGGCAAGTAGAAGTATGACCATGTTCCTTTAATTCTTCAATTTCATCTCCGTAATTGTTAGACTTAATTATCTTAATTACTTCTTGGCAAGAAGGGCATTTTTCTCAATTGTAGCTATAACTTCCATCCTCCGAGTATCTAATTTTATCATTACCAGAATTTCGATTATGACAAAATTCAGCCTCAATAAACTCAAATTTCTCTAATTTTTCTTTTCTCTTAACTTCTCAACTTTCAATCTTGGCAAGTATTTCTTGGGTTTTTCAAGCTGGTTGAGGTTCTCGGTAAATTTCGTAGTTGATGCGTTGTTTTTGCAGAAACTTTTTAATTGGTTGACTATGATTAGTTTTGATAATTATTAGCTCAGTCATATAAGAATTTTTAAGTCTGCTATGTCAGAATTAAAATTATAATTATAATTTTAATGAACGAAAAAAAAGAACTATGTGGCAAAGAAATTCCTTGCGAAGAATGTAAAAAAAACAACAAGAAATACTTGTTAAATGTGAAGAATGAAAGAATTTAAATGAGCAAAATAATTACTTTTACTTGTAAAAATCCCACCTGTTCTAATACTACCCAAGCAGTTACTCAAAATGATGATCATCCGGACATTGTTCCGGGCAGAATTAGCAACTGATTATGTACCAAGTGCGAAAAAAGGGCTGCCGAATTAGAAACTAGGCAAAAAAAAGCTGAGCAGACCGAAGCTCAAAGAAAAGCCGAACACGAAAAGAGAAAAAAACAATGATTACAAACTCTCGAAGGACAAAAATGGCTACAAGAACAGCAAGCGGAAAATTCTCGCCAAATAACTGAACTTAGCCAAATGCTCAACGAATATGAAAGAAAGCAAACTCAATACCAGCAAACTTTACAAGAAGAATTAAACAAACTTCAAAATTCCCCAAAAAATACTAAAATAAAAGGTTTAGAAGCAAAAATAAAGGAATCACAAGAAGAAACTGAGCGTATTCGCCAACAAATTCAAGAACTTGAAGCAAACTATCAAGAAAAATTAACCCAATTAGACCAAGAATTCGCTGAATCAAGCGAACTAACGAACGAAATTTCCTTCAGTGATAATCAACTTGGTCAGTGTGCTAGTTGTGATAAAAAATTACAAGAAGGCGAACAATATTTTTACTATCCCCAAGACCCGGAAAAGAGAGCCATTTGTACTACTTGTAAACCTCAAGTAGACAATGCTATTTGAGCGGCTCAACAAATTCTGCAAGGTAAGCAAGTTGATTTAAATTCTTTAAATTTACATCCCCAACACACAACCCATTTAAAAGCCATGCAACAAATAATAGCCGGTCAAGAAATAAATATTGAAAACTTACCACTTGAAGAAGAAGGCAAGCAAGAGTTGCGGATGATTCAACAACAAATTAAATCTCAACAACCAATTCCTTTGCCTGATAATTCTTCTCCAAGTGTTCTAGAAGATTATCAACCGCCAACTAACCAACCGCAGAAAATTTGTGCTAGTTGTTCCCGAGAAATTCCAATCGGACAAGGTTATTTTCGTTATAAAGATGAAGGAACCAATATCTGTACCAATTGTTATAAATGCTTTACTTGTCAAAGATCGCTAGAAAACCAGCAACTAATTTATCACCTTGATAATAATTTAACCAAAGCCAATTGTGCTGATTGTCACTGAAAGCAAATTACGCAAAAACAAAGTCGGTCTAATCCCTCAACTGACCATAATTATCTTTCCTGCACTCACTGCGTTAAAAAAATTGCCTCTGGAGAAACTTATTATATAGTTAACAAAAATACTAATCTATGTGCCAATTGTCAAGAAAAAAGAAAACAAAAATTTGGCTTAATCGGCGGACTGATTGGATTATCAATAGGTCTAATTTTCATGGCAATTTATTATTACTGAAAAAACCGAAAAGATAAAGGCGAAAAAGAAGACAAAGACCCTTCTTGGTGAAACTGGTAAAACTTAGCCCAATCTACTCTTAATCCTTTGAATAGTCTGCTCTACTACACTACTTACATCTAAACCAACCCCAAAGCTACTTGAAGGGGGAGTATAACTTTCTTGATAGGGCAAATTGCTCATAGTATCACTTAAATTATTTAAAGATCGATTAAAGCTACTTACATTCTCATTAATTCTGCTACCTAAACTTTGTAATTGATTTTCTACTTGGTTTCTCAAATTGTTTACTGAACTATTCATATTGTAAAAGCGATTATCTACCTGGCTAATAATATCTATTTGGGCATTCCTAATCGTATTATTAATTTGGTCAACGGTTCTTTCTAAATGATTGCGAATATTATCAATCTCTCGATCCATGGTTTGGATAGTGTTGCGCATATTGCCAATGTCTTGCCTTAAAGCGGCTATTTCTTCAAATTGAGCATGGATTTCCGCTCGAATGTCTGTTAAGCGGTCATTAATGATTTTACTCATGTTAATAATGGCATTGCTGATACAACTGTTAATTTCTCGTAGTTTTTCTTCTAAACGGTATTGATGGCCGAAATCATATCTTTGGAGTTGTTCAATTCCTTTTAAAGCATCGCGATTCTGTTTAGCATTGTAAATATGAAAAGTATAAAGGTAGTGAAGTAATCAATTACATACATCTTGGTCATTTTCGTTTTTAAAGGTTCCTAACTCGTTTTGCTTCTTGGTTTTTTTGTTCGCCTCTAAGTTTTGGTAGGACTGAATAATTTTGCCAGCATGGTCGGCGAATTCTTTTTTAAAAGAGGCAAACCCGAACTTACTTGCCATTTTATATAACTCTTCGTAATTATGATTGCCTTCGAATTTTCATCCTTCATCTTGCGGTCAATCGATTTTTGGTCAATTTTCTATTTGTTGACCTTTTTCATTAGTGAACTTTTGCCCACCGGCTTCGCCATATTCTTTTAAAATTTCGGGCGTCCAACTAAAATTAAGTTTTTTGCCTAATCGGCCGCGGCGAACTAATGCTGGATCTAAATTTTCATAATTATTAGTAGCAATAATTAAGCAACTGTTAGGGTCTTGCACATTGTTTCTTAAACCGGCTTTATCTTCGGTAGTAGACAAGAAATTTTTTCAATCTTCTAGTAAATTATTTTTCTTTCCGGCTCCTCCAGCAGTCATCACATTTACGCCTTGGTCAGCTTCCTCGACAAATGCTATGTAAGGTTTATCACTGTATGGATCGCCAAAAACTTCTTTTTTTAGTTCTCGGAGGATAGCGATTAATTTTTCGTGGCTTTCTAAGCCTTTATCGCTGAGAGCTTTGCCCGCTGTTTGTAAATGAAAGCCATCGATTTGGAAAATTGGTACGGTTTTGTCTTCTTGTTGGGCTAATGCTTGTTCTAATTCTGAAATTTTATTTTTTAGTTCCTCAATTTCGGCTTTTAAGTTTTCGTCTCCTGTTTCGACAATGGATTGCTCCCGTTTATTCGCCAGTTCTTTTTCTAGTTCAGCGATTTTCTTTTTCTCAGTGGGTTCGTATTTAGCGGCAATCTCGAAAACCATTTGCCGGACAAATTCTGACTTTCCGGTTCCCGGTGCCCCGTAAAGCACAGTATTACGACGGACGAACTTATCGGCATAATTATCATCAGGATCAAAGTCGTCTTTGTGAGTATAGACCATTCCAGCATTAATTAAATCATCAATATCTTCAAGTATAGCAAAAAATTGTTTTTTGATTATAGATGGAAAAACCAAATGCCCCGGACCTTGCGTGTTTTCTCCTCTTATTCCTAATGGCGGATCCATTTTGTTTGGATCAAGTACCTTGCCTTTTCCTTGAGCGTTAAATCCTTTTAAAGCTTCAATCTCCAATTCCTCTTTCTGCTTTTGTCGATTTTCCCGTTCCGTTTGTTTCCTTTTCCTCTCTTCTAGTTCAGTACCGTATTTAATTTCTAGTCTTTCCTTTTCGTACTGGTTACTTTGTCACTTAAAAAAAGCCTTCACGGCCGACAAAGTTAAATGGCAAACTATCGCTACCCCAATTAAAGAAAACAAAAACTTTTTCAATCAATCATTCATTAGCCACTTCCTCCTTTGGTCCACTGCTTAACCAAACCCCAAAGCATTAGTAAACTAACTAATCCTCCTACTCAAAAAAGAACTTCTTGGGCTTTTTTTCAGTTAATTGGGGAGTCCTCCGCTGTTTGATTGGTAATCCCTTCTTTTCCTAATTTTTTTTGTAGTTTTTGGTTCTCTTGTTCTTGCTTAGTAAGTTTGTTTTGCAATTTATCGATTTCTCTTTTTAATTTACTAATTTCTTGGCTCTGATTTTTGGTTTGATTTTGAGTTCCGGACTTAGTTCCCCGTAAATCTCTTTCTAGTTCAATAATTTTTTCTTGGGCTTGGGTTAGCTCGTTTTCGATCTGATCTTTTTCGTGGGTTAAATCAGTTAATTGCTCTTCTAATCCTTCTTTGGCTTGCCGCTCTTGGTTTAACAATTTTTTCGTTTCTTTTAATTCTTTTTCATGCTTTTTTAATTTTTCTTCTAACTTAATTTTCTGTGCCTTGACCTGGGCTAATTCCCTAGCCAGTTGTTCTGCTTTTTCTTTTTCCGGCTCTAAACGAGTAATTAATGTTTCTAGTTCGCTAATCTTATCTAACAATTGAGCATTATTTTGCTGGTCGGCTTGGTTTTTATATTCTAATAACTTTTGCCTTAAAGTTTCAATAGGTTTTAATCCGCTACAAGTAATGCTGCTTAATTTTAAATTATTACTTAGGTCTAATTCTTTTAGTCCTGAACTATGAATAGATAAACTGGTTAAACTTGAATTCTGGCTTAAATCTAACTCTCGAACTAGGGGAGCGCTAAGCACAGCTAAACTATTTAGAGCAGTATTTTGTCTTAAATCCAGTTCTTCTAATACCGCACAATTAAGGGTTAAACTAGTTAGTTCTTTATTTCCGGTAAGGTTAAGGTCTTTAAGAGTTGTTGAAATTAACGAATAAGAACTATAATCGTAAGCAATGGTTAACGACCTTAGGGCTTGATTAGGTCGTAAATCCAACTCTTCCAATTTGCTACTTTTTAAATTCAAGTTAATTAATTGAGTACACTGATTCAATTCTAATTCTTCTAAATTAGCACAAAGTATATTTAAACTAGTTAAGTTAATATTGTTTTGGAGGTTTAACTTTTTTAGTTTATTGCCGGTTAAATCGAGAGCAGCCAAGCCCGAAGCACCGTTCAAATCGCACTTTACTAATTCGTTAGAATTAATGGTTAATGAATTTAACTGCGGGCAATTGACTATCTGGAAATTTTGCAAAGCAGGAAAATTATTAAGGACAATTTGCTTCAATTGCGGACAATTGACCACTTTAATAGTCTTAATTCGTCAATCGTTTCCTTCCCCGCCCTTATTAATGCTTGCCAAATTTGCGTAATCTCTAATAATTAGTTCTTCTTTTGGTTTTTCTCACTTATTTTCTACTCGCAAAAGCATCTCTGTGGCATTATCTTTTGGGTAGTGATGGTTTACTCACTCTTGAATAGTTATCATTAATTACCTACCTCCTTAAATAAACGATAAAACAAGCCTAGCCCAATCAAAATAAGCAATACTCAGCCTGCTTGATAAATAGTTGGTTTGTGTTTGCCTAATCAAACCGAAAAGTTAGTCGGATTGATGCTTTCTTGGCTTACTACTGTGTTTTTTTTCTTTTTGACTTCGCCTAGTTCCTTTGTTAATTCTTGTTTTTCAATTTCTAGTTTCTTAATTTTGTCTTTTGCTTGTTCCAATAATCTCGCTTTCTCTTGCAACTTTCCTAAATTCTGTTTGATTTGCTGATTTTTATTAGTTAATTCTTGCACAACTTTTTCGTATTCTTGGCTATTTTTAAGAATTTGTTCTAATTGTTCCGGGCTGACCTGCCCTTTTAAAGTTTGCTTAATTTTCTTTAAATCCACTTCGGCTTGTTGCTTAGCAGTTTGAGCCTGTTTTAGTTCTTTTTCCTTGGCTTTTAACTGTTTTTGCAATTCAATGATTTCTAACTCTAATTGCTGTTGAATGTTTTCCCCTTGCTCGTTGATTTTGGCTAAATCTTTATTTTCGTCTTTCAAGTGTTTTCTTTCTTGCAAGAGTTTGTTGATTTCTCCAACTAATTGCATCCGTTCTTCTTCCCAGGCTACCAAGGTTTCTTTTTTTTCTTTGCGGAAGTTAACAATTAGCGTTTCTTTTTCTTGCTCCAATTTAAGTTTTTCCGTTTGGAGGGTTTGAATTTGCTCTTTTAATTGATTAACTTCGGCAATTTTTTGAGTTTGGTTAGCCAGATAACCCTGGCTATTTTCAATTAAGTTTTTAATTTTATTTTCGAGGGTTTGAATTTGTTGGTCTTTGGCTTTTATTTCTTCCTGAATTTCGTCAAAGGTTTCATCTCCTTGCGGCAAATTTTGGCTTTCTAAATGGTTGATTTGGGCTTGAAGTGCGGTGATTTGTTGTTGCATTTCAACTTGTTTTCGTTTATCTTTCGGGAATATAGGTAATTCACTATAACTAAACTCTTTTAAGTCAGTTAAACCACTTAAATCCAAAACTCCTAATCGCGGATTACGTCTATATTTTAAAATTCGTAATTTAGGAAAATTATCAACCTCTATTTTTCCTAGGTCGTTTTTTTCTACTTCGAGAATAGTCAGTTTAGGCAATGGTTCTAATTCAAGGTTTTTTAATTGATTGTTATTAAGCAAAATTGTCTTTAAGTTTGGGCAGTTAGTTATTTTGATTTTTTTAAGTTCTGCACCAGCAAAATCTACTTCTTCTAGTTGACAACAGCTGTTTATTATTAGTTCTTCAGTTTTTGTCATCGTTATCTGGTGCAATTCAGGGCAATCATCTATTTCTAATTGTTGAAGTTTTTTAAAAGCTTTCACACTTAAATAAGATAATTCTGGACAATTGCTGACAAAAAGTTTGGTGGTTCCTTTGCTAGTTAGAAATAGATTTTCACTTATTTCTTTTAGTTTTGGATAGTTTTTAATAATTAATTCTCCCTTTGCAGCTCCCATAAAAAGATCATCAAACTTAATTTCTTTAACCAAAGTTTGCATTTGTTCAAGGTGAGGAGCCAGCTCTTGCATTTTAATTAATTCTTCCTCTTTTTGGGCTCTTTCGCTGGTCGCTTCGGATTCTTCTTCCTCCTCTTCTTCACTTTCGTTTTTTTTAGTTTTTAATTCTTTGCGAACCTTAATAATCTCCGCTTTTAATTCGCTTTGTAATTTATTTAAATTGCTTTTGGCCTCTCTAATTTGCTCCGGAGCGGCTTCTTTCATTAATTCTCAATCAAATTCCTGGCTTTCATGACGTTTTTCTTCTTCGGGGACCAGAGCTTGGACATTTTCGAAAACTTGAATTAACTTTTCGTAACGAGTAGGGCATTTTCACTGCACAAAATAATAAGCGGCAGCTAAAGCCAGTAATAAACTGGCTAATAAAATAATCAGGGCTAGACTATTCATGCTTTCTCCTACTCTTCGAAGCCAATGCTGCGAAATAAGCTTCTAAACAACATTACGCATAGTTTATAAATAAAGAATAAGCCGATTAAGAATCCTCCGGCTCATAAGCCATTATTCATGGTTAGTTTATTAGGCACACTGGCCATAAACCCACCTTTATCTACCGCTTTTAAGTCCGCGAGGTCTTTTTCTAAAATAACTAGTTCGGCGGCTTTTTCTTCTTTGGCTTCTAATTTCTCCGTGGCTTGGTCGGCTTTGTTTTCTTCGGAACCTTTGAGAATGTCCTTGCGTTCGGCTTCGATTTCTTTAATTTCTTTTTCTAAAGCCTTTTTGTGGGTTTCGGCTTCTTTGATGGCCGCTTTGACTTCCGATTTTTCTAAGCCTTTGACGGTGGGATTATTGTTGGGACAATCTAATTGCTTACTAATGAATTTACCAAAAAGATAGTAAGCGGCTACTCCGGTGAAGAGAATGGGGACCAGGGTAATGATCATTAATAACTAGTTCCTTTCATTTGGTTCGCTCAGTTTTTAATTTGCTGGCTAGAACCCTGAGTAATTCTGGCAAGTTTTTGCTTTATGTTGTGTTTGTTTTTCATATAATATTAATTTTAGTATTGATTAGTTAACTAGATATATTTTTTTCTAAATTGATAAAAAAAGAATTATAATGGAAAATAATAAACCCTTAGATAAATTCGCCTCCCAAATGCTGGATAGTGCCATTCAAGGAATTAATCAAGCGGCGGCCGCCAAACAAAAAGAAATTAATTATTGGAAAGACAAAGTCCAAGCTCGACTAACTAACCAACAACTTTTAAGAATTTTAGGAGAAAGGATTGCCCGCGAAGAGATTAACTTCTTAAATCCTTATTTATTTGTCGAGAAGAAAGGTCAAAAAACTGTTTTGATATCTTTAAAAGATGGTCAGGTTGTTGAAAAGGAGCAAATAAAATAATGAACACTTTACTACCTTTAACCATAATTCTAACTGGAATTACCTACTTCATCTACCAAATTTATCAATCAAAGCAAATAAAAACCCCTAAGCCCAAATCAATCACCCGCCAGTGCCTTGAATGTGGCCAAACCTGCCAAATAAAACGCACTACTTTTAAACCCCTATCTTTGGCTTGAAAAGACCAAATTTGCTTTAAAATCTTTGGCAAAAAGACTTGAATTCGCTACCGGCAAGGCTACACCCGAGCTCGTTATGCGGTTAATTACTTTTATCCTACTTGCGGAATAAGTTGTTATAGCCTTTTTAGTGTGCTAAGCAAACTATTAACTAAAACGATTTGAAAAGTGCCTTAAACTGATTTTTTTGGTTAAACTTGCTAATTTTGCCAATGAGTGGCTTAATTTTGCTTTATCAAATCCAAAACCTAAAACAAATCCCTCCGCAAGAAAAAAATCATGCTTAAATTCAAATTCAATTACCTAAATAACACCCTAGCTTATCAAAAACACGAAACTTGATACGAATTAGGAGAAGATAGCCAATTTACGGGCAATTTCGGTAGCCAAGGCTTTAATTTAGATTCCGGATGGATTAATTTCACTATTTACGAAAAGAGAATCAGAGTTTTTTATAAAAAAATTAAAGAAGAAGTAGGTTCATATGATTTCTGAGAACCGCAAAATATAAGTTATTTTCGCCAAGATTTGCCCAGAGAATGCCCGGTAATCTTTACTTTTAGCGACCAGGACGAGATGGAAAAAATTGGAAACAAGTGAATTAAGAAAGGAGGAAAGTATGCCAATTAATGAACTCTGTTATCACTGCCGCCAATACCCCGCTCCTAACCCCGGGGAGGCTTTTTGTTTAGTTTGCCAAGAGTGATTAAAAGAAAAAAAAGCCTGAAAGGAACGAGTATTCAAAAGAGACGAAATTATCAAAGAACTAGAAAAACAGCCCGCCAATAATCCTAATCCCCAACCATACCTCCTTAACCTCTTAACTAAACATAAACAATTCGCCCATACTCAAAGGCTATACACGCCCCAAGAAACCCAAGAAAGAGAATTTTTAGACAAAGTGGCTAAGGAGTTAATCAGCGGCTTATTAGGAGAAACCAAATACAGCCAATTAAGCAAATAACATGACTATCCGCTCCGAAATCCTCCAAACTATTCAAAACTTCCTCGCCCAAGAAGTTAAACCTAAAAAAGCTTACCGAGCCTTTACCGCCAACTTAAAAAGGTTAAGTGAAACCCCTCGCCTACAAGATTTAACCTTGTCCGAATTAAACACTTGTCAACAAATCCAAACCTTTTTAAAAGATTGAAGCGCAAACTATTCCGCCCATCCCAAAATTTTCAGCAAAGAAGCCGAACTAAGCCAAATTCAGGCTAAATTTGCCCAATGGTTAGAATCCGCGCAAAAGAAGACTAAACCAACCTTGTCCAAACCGTCTTCCCCTTCTCCGCTTAGCAATTGAGAAACCAAACTAGAAAAAGCCGAAAAAGGTTTAGAATGACTAGACTGGTGAGAAAAGTACCATACGACTTTAAAATTCACCGCCCTAATTATCAGCCTATTATTTGCTTGGCTAATAATAGAGAAAATCAGGGAGAAATTCACCTAATGGAAAAACTAAAAAAATTAATGGCGGGCGGAATAATTCTTTTAGTCGGAATCACGGCTATCTGATGAGTAAGTAAACCGGCTCCTCAGCAACCCGATTATTCCATTGCTTCTGCACAAACTAAGCCAGTGCGAACTAAACCAACTGCCCAAGATAACTACCCCCAGCCAATCCTGGCCAGCTTAGAGCTTTGAAAAGCCCGCGATTCTGAAGCCGCCTTACTAATCCAAGAAACCATTCGCCTCCTGCGCAGCAACCATTCCACCTCCCAAAAAATCAAAGCCCTAGAAAACTTATTAGAGAATTACCAAGAAACCGAAAAACCCCTGGTGGATTTAGATTGAGAAAATGAACCAGCACCTCAACTATCAGTCAACTACTTAAAACTACAAGAACTTTTAGTTAAATGAAAGTCTCAGCAAAAATCCCAACTAGCTGCCCATAAAAAAGATTGATTTAGTTCTTGCCCGGGAAAAAGATGGTTAACCGATTCTGAAATTGATTGAGCCTTGGAGATTTTAGGAAACCAACATTTATTTAGCACCCTAATGAGCCAGCCCTTTACCGAATCCGCCCCCCGTTTTAAAATTCTTCCCGCTTACCAATTTCATTACGTGGTCGAAAGCCACGGCGAGGGCTTAGGCTTCCCGGAATTGTTAAGCCAATTAAATGAAGAAAATATCGAACTAGTTTTAATTCCGGTCAATAATCCGGACTTCCATTGAAGTTTATTAGTTTATGAAGTAAAAGCAAGCAAATTTTACCATTGAGATACTTTACGGGGAGCTAATGATTATTATGTTAAGCCCTTAGTAAAAGATTTAATCTTACAGTTATGGCAAATTAACGAAAGCACTTTAGCTGAATTAGTTGAAAGCGAATATTTAGTGCCTAAATATGCTATCCGCCAGAACAATAGCCATGATTGCGGAGTAGCGGTAATTGAAATTGCTGGTCGGATTATGGAGTTATGAAGAAGACCAGGCTTTGACCTAAATAAGAATTTAGGGGGCTTTGATTTTCCTAAAAGTCGCCAAGCGTGAAAGAAACGAGTGGAGGAGAGTTTAAGTGAATAGAGAGAGAGAGAGAGAGAGAGAGAGAGAGAGAGAGAGCAAATTTAAGCTTAACATCCCGCAGTCCGGAGAAGCCTTGGAATTATTAACCTCCTTACCGGACAATTCAACGAACTTAGTCTTTTTAGACCCCCAATACGAGCCAGTAAATAATGTTTTAAAGTTAGATTACCCGCTCTATTCCCAGTCCGACTATCAAATATTAAGTATCTTAGAACAAGTAGCAAGAATTTTAAAGCCTTCCGGTTTTTGTCTTCTCTGAATAAATAAAAAGTTATTAGGCAATGACCGCGTGCCTTTGTGATTATTAAAAACTCCGCAGTTAAAGATTGTAGATTGCTTAGTCTGATATAAAAAAAACACTTTGGGCTTAGGTTCTTGGTTAAGAAGTCAAGCGGAGTTTGCTTTTTTAATTCAGAAGCACCCGACCAATAGCAAATTATTTAAGAACCGAAGTTTAGGAAATGTTTGGGAAGAGAATAGTTTGCCTACTAACCAGCGGAACCATCCCCATCAGAAGCCGAGAGAACTAATCAGAACTTTAATAGAAGCCACCACCCAAAAAGGCGACCTAATAGTTGACCCATGTGCCGGTAGTTTTGTGGTGCTGGAAGTTTGCCAAGAATTAGAAAGAGAATTTATAGGGGTAGATTTAACTTATAATCAAGTAAAAGAATTTAGGCAAAGAACTAAAGAAACCATAAAAAACCAAAACTAACTAAAAAATAATTTATTATGAAGAGAAAAAAACTACCTCCAATTCATCCCGGAGAAATATTGAGAGAAGAATTATTAAAACCTTATTGCCTTACCTCTTTAAAACTAGCCCAAAGCATTAAAGTAGACCAGCAAAAAATTCAAGCCGTTATTGAAGAAAAAGGAAATATTGATGCCGACCTTTCTTACCGACTGGGATTATATTTTGGTTTTCGTGAAGATTATTGGTTAGATTTACAAAAACACTATGAATTAGAGTGTTGAAAGGATGAACTAGAAGCCCAAGTAAAAAAACAAATTCATCCTTACCGGCCGACCTTAAATGCTTAAAAAATTTAAAAGCCAAGAGGTTGAAAATTTAGCTAACCGTTATCCATCTCCTCAGTATCCTCTAAGTGTAAATAAATTAGCTCCGCGGAAATTATTGCTCGTAGCCCAAGCTAGAAACCTACGAGAATTAAGTAATTATCCCGCCAATAGGCTAGAAAAGCTAGTAAGTAATAAATGAAGCATCCGCATAAGCAAGCAATATCGAATAATTTTTATCTGAGAGAACAATCAAGCTTGGGAGATTGATATTAATAAACATGACAAAAGTTATGGGAAGTAGTGAAAACTATTCCTTTTAACTAGTCCGTTTACTCACGCATAGTTTTTTATAAAATATCTATCTAAAAAGTTAAAAAATAATTATAATGAAAATAATTAATTATTATCGTAATTCATTTTTTTTAATCAGAACAATAAAATCATCTCAAACCTTAAATATTCTGGTTAAAAAAACATGCTCCGAAATGGAAATTAGTCAAGAGCATGTTTTAATTCGGAAGGAACTGACCTCCTATGTATAATTTTACACATTTCTTAATTTTTTTATTATTTTTTAGTTGAATAATTTTTGGTTTGGTTATTTATTCCCTTTGCAAAAAGCTAAAATTATTAAAAAAAAGAAACCAAAAACTAAAAAACAAAACAAGAAAGAATTCATCTCTGCCTGTTTTAAATAAACTAATTTCAGATTTAACTAGGAAGGAGCGAAATGACTAAAAAAGGTGTCACGCTGCCTAATTCTGGGAAGTGAAAAGGGGTGAAAAATAAACGCCAAGGAGAAATTTACCAGTGAGTCAAAAAAGAATTATTTAAGAAAACTGTTCTTTCCGGACTTGTCTGACCTCATAAGCAACCGAGCCGAAAGGAAGAAGAAGCCTACGCCAAAAATCATTATCAAAATTGAAAAATTAAGCGAGAACAACGGAATTATATCTTAAAAGAAAGTTCCAAATTATACCGCGAAGAACAAGAATACAAAAGGAAACAATTGCTGTGGTACCAAGAAGAAGCGGGATTTACCCAACCGAGTCATCAAAAAATTAAGAAAAGGCAAAAAGTAAAAGGAATTTTTTATGAAAAAGGAGAACATAAAGAAGGGAAGCTGAAATACAAAGAATTAAGGAAAATTTGACAAGAAAAAGTTTTAAAAAGAAAAGGAAAGATAACTAAACTCGAAGATGTTGAGAAATTAACCCACGAACTTTATCAAGCCTCGCCACGGAGATTGAGGGATCGGCACATGACAGTAACCAACAAACCGAGCAAAGGCATTGATTTCCAAGAAATATTTGAGAAGAAGTATAAAAAAAACCCTTTTTCTGAAACAAAAAAACATTATTTAAAAGCATTTCAAGAATTTTTAGGAAGACAACATTCTGATGGAGAAAAACTTTCAGATGAAGAACTAAAACCTTTTTTGGACAAAAAGGGAGATTTTAAATGAACTCCCGAGGCTCAAAAAAAAGGATATTCAATAAGATTACAAGGGGAGCAACCGGGAAAAAAATGAGAAGCATACCGCAATGTTTTAGACTTAGGAAGCAAAATTAAAAAAGATATAGATGGCGAGGCCCATCGTAGTTTTATTGAAGAACACGGAAACGAAGAAAGCAAACAATTATTTTATAGCCGCCCGCCAATACGAAGAGGTTCGTGCTGAATCGAATGGCAAGGCGGAAATTGTTCGGCTAATGTTGGCACTAGCAGTGAATACTGCATAATTTGTATTTATTACGGAGATTATCATCCACCCATACTTCCCACCAATTGTCCATGACTATACAAACATAAGCCAAATAAATGCGGAAAAAATATTTTTCGGGAAGCTAGCGAACAATGGCATTATTCTCGTCAAGGAGAAAAGTATGGAAGAGCCGGAAACGATTGAGGTTCTTGTCATATTGGAATTACTGGCACGCAAACAAAAAAACATAAGAGGAAAAAATTATAATGAGAAAAAGAAATATATTTTGGTTAGATTGAAAAAGTAAAATAATTTACTTGAATAAAATAGAATTTTGCTCTTGGAGCGAAGTCGAAAAGGTTAAGGAAGAAATTTATTGCTCACATTGAGACTGGTCATTAATACTTTTAGAAGAAAAAGAAAAACAGTTAATTGCGAACCAAGAAAAAAGAATTATTCAAGTTGGCAAAAGCCAAACGACAATTAAAGAAGTTTATGGCGGAAGCAAAGAAAATCCTCGGGGGAAAGGAGTCCAAGCCCGCGGATTATTATTTAAATTAGTTCCGGAATTTACCTCTGTTCACCCTAGCACTTCTCGGAAATTTTTTGAAACGGCTCAAAAATGAAAGTGAGGACAAAGATGGGAAGAATGAGAGGAAGCCGAACTGGCTTGATTAATTGACCGCCGGAAGTGCTTTGCTAATATTATGCGAGATTACCCCTTGCCTTGTGGAAAACCAAAACATATTAAAAGAAACCCAAAATTGATTGAAACAAAACTGCAAGAAAATAAAAAAGGCTTTGTGAAATTTTATATTGAGGGTTATGCTAAAATTAAAAAAAATCAAATTCCTTTTATTCCTGATTTTGAACCAGTTATAAAAAATCATAAGAGTTTATTGTTATATACTAGATTATTTAAAACTTTTTTAAAGCAATATAAAATAAAAGGAAAAATCATTTACAGTGAATTTTGAGAATTTGAAGAAAAGGCAGGTTGTGCCAATGTTTTTTTAGATTATTGTCAAAAAAAAGAAAAACAAGTTTCAACGGAGGAAGAAAAAAAGGAATGAAAAAATAAGCCTAATGTTTTATGAGGCATTTTGGGAGCTAAGAATTTTGGTAGTTATATTTATTACCCTTGGCACTTAGCGATTTTGCAAATCTCGCTTTTACAAAGTTATCATTTATATAAAATGTTTGAACCACAAAAAATTTTAGCAATTAGAGCCGACGCAATTTTGGTAAAAGGCGATTTACCACTCCAAATAACCGAACATCCTGAATTATATAAAATAAAAAAGATAGGAGTAAAAGAAAAAGAAGTTTTTGACTATGAAAAAGAAGAATTGAAAAGTCCTTTAAGT